TACATGGTTACAATCCCTTCCATGTACCAACAATTAACAGCATTTACCTCTATTCACTTTAACTACTGTACTCCACCCTATGTCTCCCGCTACCTTTATCTTTCCTCTGTTAACCTGCCTCTTGTTGTATATTGCCTGCCCATGTCACCCATGTTAATATGTGTCTATCCTTTTGTTGTGTTGTTACTAGGTACCATCGAGTTGGTACCAACTCATAGCGACCCTGTGCACAACAGAACGAAGGACTGTGTGGTCCTGGGCCAACCTTACAATAGTTGCCAGTCTTGAGCCCATTGATACTGCCACTTTGCCAATCCATCTCACTGGGAGTCTTCCTCTTTTTCTCTGACCCTCCACTTTACCAAACATGATATCCTTGTACAGTGACTGGCCCCTCCTGACAATATGTCTTAAGTATGAGAGGCGAAGTTTGGCCATCCTGGCTTCCAAGAAGCACTCTGGCTGCACTTCTTCCAACACTGATCCATTTGTTCTTTTTGGCAGTCCATGGTACCTTCAATATTCTAGTCTCCTCCAATACCATAACTCAAATCCATCAATTCTTTTACGGTCTTCCTTATTCAGTCCAGCTTTTGCATGCATATGAGGTTATTGAAAATACCATGGCTTGGGTCAGGCGCAACACAGTCCTCAAGCTGACATCTTTGCTCTTCAACACTTTAAACAGCTCCCGTGCAGCAGATTTGCCAAATGCGATAAATGTGTCGTTTGATTTCTTGACTGCTGCTTCCATGAGTGTGATGGTTGATCCAAAAGGAATGAAGTCCTTGACAACTTCAATCTTTTCTCCATTGATAAGAATGTTGCTTGCTTATTGGTCCAGTGGTGAGGATTTTTGTTTTCTTTACATTGAGATGCAATCCATACCGAAGGCTGTGTTCTTTGATCTTCATCAGTATTTTAAGTCCTCTTCACTTTCAGAAAACAAGGTTGTATCAACTGCATATTGCAGGTTGTTAATGAGTCCTCCTTCAATCCTGATGCCACATTTTCCTTCTAACTCACCTTCTCAGATTATTTGCTCAGCATACAGAGTAAATACATACAGCAACAAAACACAACCCTGTCGCACAACTTTCTTAATTTAAACCATTCAGTTCCCATGTTCTGTTCAAACAAGTGCCTCGTGGTCCAGGTACAGATTCCTCATGAGCACAATTAAGTGTTCCAGAACACTCATACTTCACAATGTTGTCCATAGCTTGTCATGATCCACACAATCGAAAGCCTTTGCATAGTCAATAAAGCACAGGTAAACATCTTTCTGGTATTCTCTGCTTTCACCCAAGATCCACTGAAGATTAGCAATGATATCCCTCATTCCACTTCCTCTTCTGAATCCGACTTGAACCTCTGGAAGTTCTCTGTCAATGCACGGTTGCAGCTGTTTTTGTATTACCTTGAGTAAAACTTTACTCCCATGGGATATCAAAGATATCGTCCAACGATTTCCGTCTTTCATTGCGCTATCTCTTTGGAATGCACACAAATATGAATCTCTTCCAATCACTTGGCCAGATAGTTGCCTTCCAAATTTCTTGGCAGAGATAAGTGAGTGCCTCCAGTGCCGCCTCACTTTCTTGGAAGATTTCAATTTTTATTCCATCAATTCTTGGTACCTTGTTCTTTGCCAATTCCTTCAGTGCACCTTGGACTTCTTCCTTCAGTGGCTCTTGATCATATGCAGCCTATGAATGTGCCCCTCCATGCCCTGACCTGGTAACCATCATAGTTTGTTTCTTTCATTGAGAAAACTTTTTATCTTTTTACAATATTGCTCTCATACAATCTTTGTTCTTTTGTGATTGACTAATTTCACTGAGCCATAATGTCCTCCAGGTTCAACCATGTTATGAGGTGTTTCACAGATTCATTATTCTTCAAAGTTTTATAATATTCTATTGTGTATGCAACAAAGTTTGTTTATCCATTCTTCTAGTGATGGACATTTACGGTGTGCCCATATTTTTCATGCCTCTTGTTGGTAGCATATTGAAGGATTCTGTTTTCCTTTCCATTCTGCTGTTTATGTCTCTTGACTGGTACATGTAATCCATTTACATGCAGTATAATTATCAACACGTATGAATTGATTGCTGTCATTTTTCTGTGTTTTATTGTTGTGCGGCTGGATTCTTTGTTCCACCTAATTTTCTATGCTGAGTTCATGTTCTTAGTGTGTTTTCTTGTCTTTTCATTTCTGTTGTTTTACTAAATCAGATTTTCTTCCTTTTTTATTCTGATATGCAAGTGTATCAATTTTGAGGTTACCTTATAATTTCCCCCCCTGCTTAAAACAATCTGTTTTATCTTGAAATCTACTAGACTTCCTTGCCTTTTGGAAGTTCTGTATCTATACTATTCCCTCTTTTTGCTTCGTTTTATAATTGACTTCATTAAACATTGATATCTCTGGTTCCCTATTTTCTCTCTTGTTGGTTTGTTTTACTTTAAATACTTCTGTATCTGGACTGGTTTCTAGGTGGTGTTGTCATGTGTAGTAATCTTAGGTTGTTGTCTGTTGTTATTGGTTCTCAGTGCAAAGAAAACCCTTTAGCAATTTTTGCAAAGCAGTCATTACAAATTCCTTTAATCTCTGTTTATCAGGAAAAGTCCCATTTTGCAGTTATATTCCTTGACTCTGATTTTGGAAAGTTTGAATATGATATATCTTGGAGATTTTCTTTTGGGATCTATTCTGTTGGGGTTCATTCAGCTTCTTCCATGCTTATCTTCTCATCTTTCTTGATGTTAGGGTAGTTAGTTTTCTTTCAATAATTCTTCTACAACTTTCTCTGTGCTTCTCTCTTCCTGTTCTGGTATTCTGATCAGCCATAATTTGTTCTTCTTCGTGGTGTCCCACATAACTCAGTCAGGGTTTCATCAGATTTTTCATTCTTTTTTCGATTGTTCTTCTAACATACTAGTATGGAAAGATTCCTTGTCAAACTCACTAATTCGGGCTCCCATTGCCTTGCATCTACTTTGCCCTTTCAATGCATTTTCCATTTCGGAGATCTTAGTATCTACTAAATTTCTAATTGCAGCTTTTGTAATGTTTGAAAATTTGCATTTATTTTGTCGGTTTATTCTTGTAGTGTTTTCCTGAATTCTTCTAAAGTTTTTATTGTGTTCCCCTTGCTCTCTTCAATCTATCAATTCTTTGAAGGTATCTAATTATCAATCTTTTTCAGTTAGTTCATTACCTTTTCTTCCTTATTAATATCTTCTGGCACTACATCTTGGTAATTTGTTTGAGCCATTCTCTCTTAGTTGTTTTTTTGTGTGTGAGCTAAAATTGTGTGTTGTCTCTGGGGCATTGTGAGGTTATCATATTTATAAAATCGAATAGTACAGTTGTTGGAAGTGGAAGGCAGAAATCTCTGGGAGGTGTGGGTCCTGCAATTCAAGGATATAACAAGGTGGTTGTGGAAGTGATATGACAGTACAGTACCTGGCCCTAGATGGAGTTCCTATTAGCCTGGGTGTTATCTATATTCAAGGCACTCAATCTGGAAGCTGTTCATAGGGGCCCTGGATGGAGCTGGTTTCATTTGTCTGTTAGGCCCATAAGGAAGCAGAGTGACTGACTAAATGCTAGTATGGTGGCACTGAGGGTTTCTAGGTCTGGAGCCAAACCCTCTAGAATCCAGGCACCAAAGCAGCATACCAGAGAGGTGCAGCTGGCCCCCACCTCACACTGACCTGGCTCCCAACCATGCAACTCTGATTTCCCAGAAAACATAGTCGGTGCTGAGGGTGGATGAGGGTGGAAGCTGGCCACACTTATGGTCACCAGGGTAGCGTGGGGCAAAGAAGAAATCACAGCTTTTCCATTGCCCACTTGAATGCCAGGTCTCTTCTGCTGCCAAGGCTGTTCACAAAAAGGTAGAGCTGTGTCTGGCTAACCCATTCACCAGTCAGTCTTCCTCTCTTATAGTCCCTGCTAAGCCTCTCCTCCTAAGAAGCACGCCATTCACCACTGTAACCATTTTTCTGAGTTCCAGGTGCCAGAATGTTCATCTGTGTCTGTTTCATTTGGTCTTTTGGATCTTTGTTGTAAAGGGTCCATGGAGCACATCTGCACAAACCACTATCTTGCCAAAAGTTCCTCATTATCTTTTAATCCCATTTTTCCACAAACTTAAAAATCCTTTCTTATATTCTAAAAGTCATTTTGGTCCTTTTTCAAAGACAAAGAAAAGGCACTAAATGTTTATCAAATTTTTGTTATTATGTATGTAACTTGTTGTTGTTAAGTACCGTTAGGTTGGTTCCAACTCATAGTGACCCATATAGGGTTTCCAAGGAACAGCTGGTGAGTTTGAACTGCCGACCTTGTGGTTCAAACCCACTATGTGGTCCAGTGCATTATCCTACAGCATCACATACCTACTTCTCACTTATCAACTATCTCATCAGACACTTCGCATATACAATAATAAAAAATGTACTAGTATCTGGCCATTTTGTGAATTAACAATAGACTTCTGGCAGTAACAAATCCCCAAGTGTGCAGACAGCACCACTGGTTGTGCAGGTTATGTGTCAACTTGGCTGGGTCATGGTTCTCAGAGGTTTAGCAGCTGTAGGGGTCATTTAGCAGCTATTAATGATGGAGTCACTTACATTTTGTGATCTGATGTGGTCATCCTTCATTTTCACATAACACTGATTTTCAGATACTACCCTGATCTTTGTTATGCCACTAACCATGTCAATAAGTGAGGAATGGGTGTATTTTCTAATTGTAATACTGTAACACAAATCAAAAAAACTAAAGGTCAACAATTATTTGAGTTTAAGGATGTTTTATAATTTCAGTGTACTTACTGCCTAGATGGATTGAGAATTACAGTCACATATAATAGCTCATTTCCTCTAAATATTTATATCCAAAGTACATTTAAACTCATTTACTTCAATAGTTCATCAGCTTTCAGACTATTCTTCTAAATATGGAGTACATAAGACAGTACCTCTGATCTTGCTCCGTAGATATTTTAGGACTTCTTGGGTTCCCTTCTGGAAGCGTAGAGAAAAAGACAAATATTCATCAAGATCAACGTGCATGTATGATATCAAATTAAAAAAAGAGTTGAATTCTAAGTACACTTACACTTATAATCTCTCTTCGAATAGTTCTCAAAGGATTTCCTTCTATTGCCAAGAATTTCAAATGAAGGTTTCCCAATGAATAGGGCAGACTATAAAAATTAAATTAATTTCAAGGAAAACATTAGATATAAGCATATTCAACCAAATAGTTGACTATAAAACTAACAATGTAGAACAAATGATATATCATGTAATAATTTCAAATGAGTAGGAGGCCTGGTGTGGCACTGTAGGATAAGCACTGAACCACAAAGTCAGTTTGAACTGCAAGATATGCAGTTCAAACTGATTAGCTGCTCCTTGGAAACCCTATATAGGGAAGCTATGCATCAGAAACGACTCAGTGGCACTTAACAACAACAAATTTCAAAGGAGACCCAGATAAAATATTTCCCTTGTAAATGAATAATAAATAGACTTATTGAAATTGTTATACTAGACTTATCATTGAAATTGTCATACTGAGATTACTAAGAGAATCTGAGATATAAGATATTTGCTAAGCTGTATTCAGTGCCAAAAAGCAAATGTTTCTAAAACATCAATTTGAAGAAATCAATGCTTCAAAATGGACATGCCCCACAGACACCAACTGTGGCGATTTTGTTCTTTGAGGAAATACATTTAGTTATAAGTGAAAAAAGATGACAATTGTACAAAGAAAAAAAATTCAATCGCTCAATTCATGTTTTCATTCAATAAGTTAAATCATTGTTTTACCTTAAACGTACAAAGTAAACCAGTGTTTCTAAATATAGTCAATCTTAATAACATTAAGCACTTTTAATGTACTAGTCATTGGTATAGGGATATCAAGATCCTTACTTTTAAAATGTTCTACCCAGAATATGTGGTGGTGGTAGTGGTTGTGTGCCACAGAGTTGGATCTGACTCATAGTGATACTGTATAGGTTTTCTGAGGCTGTAAATCTTTATGGAAACAGAAAGCCTCATTTTTCTCCCACCATTGAGCATGCATGTGAAATGATTCTGTAGAGTAGAGGAGTGACAGTGGCTTATGTGGTAAATCATTTACAAATCAGCCATGACTCTGCCTTTTTGGGGTAGAGAGTAGCAAAGGCCGGATTTAGATCTAAAAAGAGGAATGAGAGTTCACTGGGCAATAAAGCAGGAAAAGGGCACTAAGAAACAAAATGAAGACTCAGTATCTTTATAATTCAGTATAGTTAAAGAACAGGATGCCTATAACAGGGTGAAGCATGATAAAATATAATTGAAATGATTGTGAGATGCCTTTGAATGCTATGCTGAGAAATGTAAACTTTGCCATGTGAGACAATTAAAAAAAAAAACAAAAAAACCGTCATCTAGTCTATTCTGACTCTTAGAGACGCACAGTCATATCTTTCTCCCATAGAGCATGTGTTTGATTTGAACTGCTGACCTTGCCAAGCCCATAGCACCAACAGGACTCCTAATCTAGCAAAACAATTGTTCCCAAATGCTTATTGGAACACCAATGAACACCAAAGCCACAACTATGACTTCAATTCTAACCCATAGCAACCCTAGAGAACAGAATAGAACTCTTTACGAATCGGGCTGCGAACCTTAAGGCCAGCAGTTCGAAACTACCAGGCACTCCGCGGGAGAAAGATGAGGCGTTCTGCTCCCGTAAAGATTTACAGCCTCGGAAACCCTGTACAGGGTCGCTATGGGTCGGATCCAACTCAAGGGCACTTAACAACAACAACAACAACATACGGCTCCCAAGGTGGTAAATCTTTATAGAAGTAAACTGCTTCATCTTTCTCTTTCTGAGCAGCTGGAGGGCTCGAATTGGAGTCCTGGTGTGACGCTGCAGGATAAGTGCTTAACCCTAAGGTTGGTCTGAACCACAAGGTCAGCGGTTCAAACTCACCAGCCACTCCTTGAAAACCCTATACAGGGTCACTATGGGTCAAAACCGACTTGATGGCACTTAACAACAAGGTTAGTAGTCCAGTGTTTAACCCACTCTGCCACAAAGTTTATTGTTGGAATACCAGAGACATCTAACTCTTCTCAGATTTAAAAAAAAATCTATGGCCCCAATGATTCTTTTTTCTTTTTCTTTCTTTAAAGCTTCATGAGTCTGATTCATAGCCTTATTTGGAATATGCTGCTGTTGTTAAGTGTAGTCAAGTTGTTCTGACTCATAGCAAACCTTTGCAGGATTTCCATAGGGCAGCTGAATGGTGTGAACTGCAGACCTTTTTGTCAGCATTTCAGTGCTTATCTTACAATGTCACACCAGGATATAGTGCTATTATCATGGGAAACCATCACACTTTTTTAAGCAGAAAAGTACAGGATAATTGTATTTTCACAAAATATGATGGTAGCATGTAAGGAATTAATCTTTTAGTTAGACAACATTCTAGAGGCAATGTAAAATGGCTCAAATTATCTAGTATCTAGCCAATATGGGATTGCATGGAGTCCTGGTGTGGACAAACTATAGGATAAGCACTTGACCACAAAGTTGGTTTGAACCACAATGTTGGCAGTTCAAACTCACCAGCCACTCCTTGGAAACCCTATACACGGTCGCTATGGGTCTTAAATGACCCGACCGGCACTTAACAACAACAACATGGAATCCACATGATGAAAGAAATGACTGTTTCCTAAGTGTTATTATGTTACACACAGTTGAAAGCCTTTGGAGAGTCAGTAAAGCACAGGTTAAGATCTTTCTGGTACTTTCTGCTTTCAGTCAAGATCCATCTGAAGTCAAAAAGGATATCACTTGGTTGACGTCCTCGTCTGAATCTGGGCTGTTCCCTGTCATTTTACTTTTGTTGATATTTTAAAATTATTTTTAGCAAAATTTTATTTGCATGTCATATTAATGATATTGCCCAATGATTTTCACACTCTGTTTGGTCATCTCTCTTGGAATGGGCACAAATACGGATTTCTTCCAATCAACTGGCCATGCAGCTATCTTCCAAATTTCTTGGCATAGATGATGGAGTGCTTCTAGGGCTGCCTCAGTTTGCTGAAAGATTTCAAGTTGTATCCCATCAATACCCAGAGCCTGATTCTTTGCAAATACCTTCAGTGCACCAAGGACTTCTTCCTTCAGTACCATTTGCTTTTGATCATAGGCTGTCTCTTAAAATGGTGCAACATCATCCATTTATTTTTGGAACAGTGATTCTCTATATTCCTTTTATCTTCTTTTGATACTTTCTACATTGTTCAATGTTTTGTCCATAGAATCCTTCAATATTGAAAGTCAAGGCTTGAATTTTTTTCTTCAGCTTAAGAAATGCTGAATGTGTTCTTCCCTTTTGGTTTTCTAATTCCGTTTATTTGTATATTTTGTTATAATACCTGACACTGTCTTCTCAAGTTGCCCTTTGAAATTTGCTGTTCAGCTCTTAACTTCATTTCTTACATTTGCTTTAGCATTTGTATGCTGGAGTGCAAGTTTCAGGCCTCTTCTGATATTCATTTTGGTCTTTTGCTTCTTTCTTGTCTTAATGACCTACTGTTTTCTTCCTGTATGATATTCTTGATGGGATCCCACAACTCTTATCTTTGGTCATTTGTGTCTAATTCATCAAATCTGTTCTTGAGATGATCTCTAAATTCAGATGGGATATGTTCAAGATTATATTTTGGCTCTCATGGACTTGTTTTAATTTTCTTCAGCTTCAGCTTGAACTTGCATATCAGCAATTGATTGTCTGTTCCACAGGCTACATTTGACCTTGTTTTGGTGGATGACATAGAACTTTTCCACTGTGTCTTTCCACAGATGAAGTCAATTGGACTTCTATGTATTCCATCTGGTGTTGTCTATGTGTACAATCATTTGTTAAGTGGTTTAAAGAAGTTATTTGCAATGAATAAATCATTGGTCTTGAAAAATTCTGTCTTGTGATTTCCATCATCGTTTCTCTCACCTAGACCATATTTTCCAACGACTTATCCATCCTCTTTGTTTCCAACCACTGCATTCCGATCATCAGTAATTAATACACATGGATGGCATGTTTGATCAATTTCATATTTAAGAATTTAGTAAAATTCTTCAATTTCATCATAACTGGACTTAGTAGCTGGTTTGTAAATTTGAATAATAGTGGCCTTCCTTGTAGGCATATGGATATTATCTTATCAAAGACAACATTATATTTCAAGATTGATTTTAAAATGTTCCTTTTTATAACGAATGTGACAAGATTCTTCTCCAACTAGTCATTCCTGGCATAGTAAACCACATAATGGTCAGATTCACAATGGTCAATGCCTGTCCATTTCAGATCACAAATGCCTCGTCTAGGACTTCATTCTTTATGGATTCCATTACATTTTAGACAACTTCCAATTTTCCTAGATTCATACTTCATACATTCCATTTTCCAATTACTAACGATGTTTACAGCTATTTCTCTTCATTTTGAGATCCTAAAAGCTTTTCTCCATTCATGTCATCACAGTCAACTCTTTTTGAAGAGGCAGCACTTCTCCAGGTCAATTTTTAGTGCTTTCCAACCAGAAGGGTTTATCTTTCAGCACTATATTTTGTTGTTGCTAATTATGGTTGAATCACAGTTCCAATTCATAGAGAACATGTATAGGGTTTCCAAGGAGCAGCTGGTAGTTAACAGTCCAGTGCATATTATCAACAAAGATAAGTCCTTCACCACACTCCCTGTTGTAAATCGCTGCATATAAAATTTCTCTCCATGCCACACCAGGATTCCCACTGTATCTGATAATGTTGTTGTTGCTGTTAGGTGCCATCGAGTCAGTACCGATCCATAGTGACCTTATACTCTGGTGCTATTCACCATGTTTCAATTTTCAATATTCTGGTGCTATCTTACAGTGTTTCACTGCCATTCACAGGGTTTTCAGTGGCTAAAATTCAGAAGTAATCCAACTCTCATTCTTCCTAGTTTGTCTTCGTCTGGAAGCTCAGCTGAAACCTGTCTACCAGTGGCATAGCTTCCACCATCACAGCCTAACACAAGTTATGACAGTACGACAAACTGACAGACGAGTGCTTTATGGACTATCCAAAGGTTTTTGACTGTGTGCATCATGAGAAGTTATGGACAAAATTGCAGAG